TAAGTAAAATTTACGGTATAGAAAAGGTACCAAAACTCAAGCGTTTACTAAATTATTATTCTCTCTTATCCGCACAGGTAATCATTAAAGAAAAATTAATTTTATTCAAAATTCATATGCCTATAACATCTTCCCAATTTAAATACATCCAACTATATCCAATACCAATAAAAAACCAAACCATAATCCCTGAACACCCTTACCTCTTACTCAACACAGAAGAATACTGGACCACATCAGAAAAATGCCCAGAAATCGACAACCTTTACTTTTGCCTACAACAAAACCTGCACAAACAACAACCTTGTTTAGCAGACCTCATGAGAACAGGAAAAAACTCATGCCCTGGAATCTACATAAACTTTTCCGAAACAAGCACAACCCAAATAAGTGCACAAGAAGTCTTAGTAATTCCTGCGACAACAACAAGCATCAGATCCCATTGCGACGCCGAAGGCATATACGAAATTAACAAACCCTCTGTCATCTTACTAGGGAAATGCAAAATTTCCATTAACAGCAAACAATTTCAAATGGAACAATCCACTCATGAAGAATTCGTATTCGAATTACCCACATTCGAAACAGTACAACCTGAACATAATACAAAGAAGACTTTCCATCTGAAACAAATAAGCAGCGAAGACATCAAGCAAATCAACACAATTGCAACCAATTTACAAGTCTCGGATTTACACATCATTCGCAACAAAAGCCACCCATGGATCAATACCACAATCATAATAACCGTTGTAGCAGCATTAATAGCCGCCCTATGCTATTTTAAGATATTCCGACGCCGATGCCTGAGAAGTCCATCAAGCAACCCAAAAACATCCCAAGACGTACAGAAAATAAAGGAGCCCTTATTTTCTGATCTGGGAAGGGAGGAGTTATGTAGTTGAAAATCTTCCACTATTATTTACTTAATGTTAAGATAATGCATCTACTTTCTAAAGTATTTACTCTAACGATATATTTATGACTTTTTCCAATATATAAGTGTGTAATCAACCTTAGAAGTTAAGTTAGTGTTACTGAAGACTTTGTACTGTTAGCATAAGTTTGTAAACCTAATTTCGAAAATAAAAGTTTTTTTTACGGTTTCGCGTAAACGAGAAACTTAACTCATGGCACACATTCATGAACTTAATGACGGAAAGGAAGAAAAGTCCCACAGAAACAGTGCATAGGAGTATGCTTTAGTAATGCGCGAAATGGTAAATAGAGCAATGCTAATAGAGCAATGCTAATAGAAGCAAGACTAATAGTTGATTGAGTGTATTATTATTGGTTACATTGAGCAGGAGAACTTATTGAAATTTAGAAAGGAAATTAGATTATACAAACCAAGGCGTATCAAAAAGAACTGCCAAATTCGGAAAGCCACATTTTCATAATAAAATAAGTCTGGAAAAGAGACGGTATGGCCAAAAATATATATCCCCGATTGGTAATGTTTGTAATGAAAAGGCCATGAATACGAGTACCCTAATGAAAACAAAGAATCTAGTTCCCAGTTGTAATGTGATAGGTATGGATACAGCATCTGCTGAAGAATAACAGTACTGGCAATATTCCCATCATCGAAGTAATTGCAACAAATAGTATCAGTATGAATGTGAAGTTCAATGAAGTGAAATCGAAAGCATTATTTTCAGACACCGGCAATGACATTGATTAGAGAGATTGAATCAAATAAAGTGACAACGATCCTAGCTTTCCAACGAAATATGATTGTTGATGACACATTGATTCAAGAATAACGGACAATGGAATTGTTTTAGGTACAGGGTGATCTATTTTGAATTTCACCCCCACCTAACTTTTTCATTCGACGTTTTTGACAAAAGTGTCACATACAAAAGTTTCAAGAAATTGTCAAAAGTTTTTAACTAGGTCATCATCGGTCAGTTTCAATACAGGGTGTGTCAAAGAAGTGTAGCACAGAGAAGTTATATTTTTTAAATGGAACACCATGTATATTGTGCGCTTATTTGTTAGTCCCCTAGCGTTTTTCCTATACCTAACTATTGAAGATAAACATATCAAACCGTGTATCGTTGAAATCAGATTGAAGGGGATTAATAAATAAGCGCACAAAATACATGGGTATTCCATTTAAAAAATATATAACTTCGCTCTGTTACACTTTTTTGACGCGTCCTGTATGCTTGAAACTGACGTAGTTGAAAACTTTTGACAATTTTTTAAAACTGTTTTATTTGATACGTCAAATAAAAAAGTTAGGAGGAGGTGACATCTATATATTCACCCTGTAGCTGAAAAGGAGAGGGGGAACTTTCTGAAGCAGATGATGCTGACCGCAAGTAAAGACGGGTTTTAAAGAGTATGTACCTACAAACCAGACAAGACAAATGCAAAACAACAGACATTAGGATGAGTATTGTTGGTAAAGGTGAAGAGCCAATAATAAATCAAAGACCGCGAGAATCAGCTATTTCTGAAAAATTAATAAATATGGAAGCACAAATTCAAAAATGGATAGTAGAAGTTCATCGGATTTTGCTAATCCAATACATAATATTGGTGACCAAGAAAGAAGAACAGACCAGAATCTGTTCTAGCTATTGTAATAGGAACAAGGATATTGGTAAAGGCACATTTCCCTTGCCTATCATTGATGTATTACATATAGATAGGTGCTAACTTTTTTTTTTTTTTACGGATATGCGCACTCGCAAGGAAATGTCCTATCACGCTCGAGAAGCGGCAAGTGCGCGGAAATGTCGGTGTATGTTGGTCTTGAAACGGTTCAGGTTGTAACCTGCAGGGAAAACCGTCGCAGGGAGTTTATTCCACAGCGATGCTGTTCTCTAGAGATATGAATTCTGATATAATGAGGTTCTTGGTGCCTCTAGTTTGACAGTAAATTCATGGTTACCGTCTGTTTGACGGGTTCGCCTGGTAAGTGCTACTCTCGGTGGAATCATACGTGCCAACTCTTCAGAGCATTTTCCGTGATAGTACCTGTAGAAGAGAGATAAATCGCCCACAGATCTGTGATGTTCGAGACCATCCAAGTTACGAGTATTTGCGGGGTCATTGATCAGCTTGATAGCTCGTTTTTGCACGGTATTCAAAAGCATTAAGGTATGTTTGGGTGCTGCTCTCCATATATGTGAGCAGTACTCCATAGTTGGTCGAATCTGGGCTTTGTAGAGTGTCAGCAATTGGCTTGGTGTGTACAGATGTCTTGTACGAAATAGCACCCCCAGCTTTTGGGAGGCCCTTTTAGCAATATCTGCCACGTGACTGTGCCAAGACATGTTGGTCTCTGCAGTAACCCCCAAGATGTTCAACTGACTCTGTAATGTGACAGCACTTCCAGATAGCATGATGTTTGGCTCACCGGTGCTGGTCTTTTTTGAAAACAGAGCTGCTTGGGTTTTCTGCGCGTTAAACTGTACAAGGTTTTTGTTACCCCAGTCCTCTATTATCTCCAGGTCGTTATTTATCTGCGATATTTGAGTTAGTCTAAGATGATGGAATTCACGTGCGGAAAGACCTGATGTGGGTGGTATGAGTGAGGAGGCTACATTGCCATCGTCTGCAAAGCAATAAAGTGGATTTACTGTTTTATCTATGAGGTCATTTATGTAAATCAGGAAAAGAGTTGGCGAAAGGATTGCTCCCTGTGGCACACCAGCATTTATTTGGTAAGAGTTGGAGTTCTGGCCATCCAGTGCAACATAAATGGATCTATCCTTTAGGTAACTTTCAAACCAAGTGCAAAGTTTCGGCGATAATCCCATTGCTTTGAGCTTGTTGAGCAGATTTTCATGCCAAACTTTGTCGAATGCTTTAGATATATCTAAGGCAATTGTTCTTGTTTCACCCCGCAACTCAATCGCTTTTTGCCATAAGTGAGTGACGTATGTAAGTAAATCGCCAGTTGACCTATATTTTCGAAATTCGTATTGCTTATCGTTGATAATTTTGTACTTTTCCAAGTACTTGGTTAGGTGATTGTTTCATGACGAAAAAGAAGGAATACGACAGGTTGAAGATAGTTTCGGGATTAGCGAAAGATTATGAACTCGATATTGAAAAAAAGTGTTAAATTAATTTTGATGGGTGCGGTTGGAATTTTTGGTATATGTATTATTTCAGATGAGCAAATACAACTTTTAAGAAAGAAGATAATGGTAATATGTGAATTTTCTCAGCCAACTACCACCTAGCAATTTCTTGGTCGTACCAGTTACTTTGGAAAATTTGTAGCCTCATTCTCCATAATTACCAAGCCACTGGAGTGATGCTCAAGAGGGATTTTTATGAATTAAATTATTGTTCCAGTTCTTAAGAAGCTGAGTTTGAAAGCAAAATGGAATATTTCCTTTGAACATGTCCAGACATAATTGTACTATATATACAGAGAAACATTGACGTCACGCCATTTGAAGTAGTTATTTTACATACGAGGAAAATTTATCGCTGAAAGAAATGTTAGAGAAGCAAATAAATACTGAATTCAACGAGCGAAGATAAAGATATAAAATTTGAGAATATTTTGGGTAAGCATCAGATATTGAAAATGTATTGAGAAAATAACAGAAGATTAAATCTCCGATGAACTAGAGATGAAGAGTACAAAAAGAAGATCCAGTGGGAACACCGCGGAAAATAAGTAGGTCCAATTAGGCGCCTCTGCCGCCTCGTGCCAAAAAGAGGTAAAATCAAAACAAAGAAATACATATTTATTTTTCCAAAAGTTATAGACCATTGTTCATGTTTTAAGTTCCATTATTATAGTTTTTCTATTTCTTTATCAAGTAAATTCTGTGCAACTCAGGTTTGCAGAATTTTTGTCAGTGGGGTAACAAGATTTTTTTTTTCTCAGTACTTACACCTACTTTAAGTAATATTTTTTAAAATAAACTATTACTACCTATTAAAATTGAATTTGACTCGATTCTTTTTACTTGAACTACATCTACCTGATCTATCTACTTAATTGGGTAAATGTTACTTCTTACCAGTTTTCGCGGAAAACATCCTATAAGAAAAAATATGACACACATTAACGCAGAAAACGACACTGCTATTACTTCCACATATTTCTGTTCGCAATAATAGACTAAATGAGTAACATGTGTGCCGATGTTCAAATAGATCGACTAATTTTCTTAATCAAGAGGTTAATTTGTTAATAGTATTGCAATGATTGCAATTTGATATTGTTTTAAAACGATACCTATGTCTAATATCCACTAAAGAAAATATTTATCCTACTACCATGTTATGTTATGGGGAATTTATATTCCAAATAGGTACTTATTTAAAAGTACCGTATGATGAAATAAGAATGCCTGTGAAGAGAAGTCACATTCATGTACTTTTAACATACTCTATTGAATAGAGAGAGAAAAGGAAATTAAATTATTATTCAATAAAAACAATAACTACACAATTTTGATAGTTGATATACAGAGAGTTTTTTCAAACTGAACTGAAACTGAAAACAAATTGGAAAGGGTTCTAAGTCAATAGATTTTATTACCATAAGCATGATATTTAGAATGACAATTCACGACATGTCGTCTATTCGATAATAATTATAGATTGGGTCAGACGAATAAAATTATTGAAACAAAATTCTCGGATCTAGATCTGATAAATTACAACAATATTCTATCTAATGTCTGCCCAGCGAGTCTGTGTCTACGGGGCAACGGTAAGGGGAATGCAGTTGTAAAAAAAATGACTGATTTCATTCATAAAATACCCAGCTGCGTGCGGAACTTTTTGGAAGTGTTATCGTATTGCAACTCGTACACAAAAATCAGCAATGACCAAATCTCCGCCACTGGATATGTCAATATAAATCGATATTCCAAGATGGGAGGATAAAATGACGTGAGCCCTGGCCCCCAAGTAGCAACTACACGTTAGAAAACGTTTATGAAATGTTGGTTTCAGGTCCTGAACGTGTACTAACGTTCTCGACTCTAGGATAACGTTACATGACGTAACGTTGTGTCAACGTCATTAAGTTTAACGTTTTATAAACGTTGTTATTTAGACTTTAGTATATGTAACGTCGAATTAACATTTTTTTCTAGACGTTGTTGGTATCAGAACGGTGTTTATTTTGAATCAGGAAAATATTTAAAAAAACATTATGTATTATCTTATAGTTTTAATTTCCAAGTGTCGTATCCTGCACTAATTATATTTAGCGTTGTTTCCTAACAAAAAATATTAAGCCTATTTTGAAATTCCCGCGCCCGCAGAGGTGTAATCGAATTTTCGCGGTACACCTACAGTGTTGCCACTTTATTATAATGGGTCTTTCCCACGTTTTTTTTTATTTGCTTATCTGAAAGGGTAATCAAAATAAAGCCCAGAAATATTTTTTTCGGATTTTTTTAGTACCGGGAAAGGCCTTAAATTTTTAATTGAATTTCAAAATTCTTAGGATGGTGACGTCACGCGCCTAGATTTTCTATTAGCTGCTTTCTTCAAGTGTTGCCATGCGGTTGCTGATTTCAAGAAATTTCTCTACGAATTGTGTTCTTAACTCTCAAGAATTCGAATCGATAACCCATCGATCTCGCTCGATTCTCTATGAATTTAACCTTATTTTTGAAATGTAAACAAAAAGTAATTTTATTTTATTTATTTAAAAATATATAGCTGGAATGTACCTAAATAACTAAAATTGTGCCATTTCCTAGAACCCATTTACCTGAATTTTCGGTTTTAATTGGGGCGTCTCCTATAATAATTTTGTGCTAAACACAAAATGTAGCAATTTCGAATTTGCTTGGCCTTGAGAAAATAACAACATATACCTATACCATTTAATTTTGTTTAAGAGTTTATTAAAATTGATAATGCTTCCAGGTTTATAGGTACAATATACATTACAAATGAAATATATGTATATAGCTATGGTTTTGGCATTGTCAACTTAGAAACATAAACAATGCCGCTAATGCCGCTTATTGGTCACTATTGTAAAACTGATGTCAACCTCTAGAAACACCTCATTTTGCGACCAATCAGGGTCAAGCGTTATTGTTTATGTTTCAAAGTTTTCAATGTCAAAATCTATCTTGGGAAAAAATAAAGTGTAGGTATCAATTCATATAATAATATGTACAGAAATCACCTAATGCTACTCACTTCAATGATAATATGATACAATTAACTTTCAATTTATTTATTTACAGAAACTTCATTTAAAAGTTAAAAACGCAGGAGTGCAAATTTGTCGAAAATTATAAATATATTTCCATTGCACGAGTTGTATTTAATGAGAGAATTTCATAAATCAAAAATTTAAATTTTTTGTCAAAAAATGTCAAAACACCAGTTTTCGCATTAGTTAGTATGCAATTATCTGATAATTTGCACTAGTGCAAATTATCGCGTAATTACAATCTGATTGGTTCAAATCAACAATCAAAACATGTCAATTTATTGTTGGAATACCAGTTTTGACAGATGTATGAAATTCTCACATTAAATATCCCTATTCTAGTTACATAATTCTTGAAATGTGTTTTTTAAACTGACAAAATTCAAATGAATCTAGATCATATTCATTGTATGTAAGTACCTACACATACATATAAGTGAGATTTTCGTTTTTCGGGCCCAATGGAGTTCTCTGTCAACACAATCTTTACCTATATTCTCAGCTCACAATGCTGTTATTTGCTTCATCAGCCGCGACTCCTATTTGCTCTTATGTACTTTTGTGTTCTGGGGTTCTTCTACAGTTCTACACTGAACAGTAGGTACGATGTTGGCTTTCTCTTTTTAGTCTTCAGTTGTACATAACTAAACAGTATTGACTATATTCTGTTTTTGCTTTTGCTAATTTAAAAACCAAAATAAACCTTAGTAGAAGTAGGTAGGAACCTACTTTGGACAATATAGTTGTGTTGGTGAAAAATAACACAAAATAAATCTCACATTTCCAATTTCGAATCTCTGTTCTACAACTTTCAACTTTAACTTTGATTTTAACACAACAGTATTCACTCTTTGAAAATGTTTTATTTACAAAAGGTACCCTTTTAGGTTAGAATTCAGTTGTCAAATAAATAGACTGGAATAGAAATCGATAAACCGCATTTAGGTCGATATTTTTTTTCCTTTTCTATCTTGTTCATTCAACTAGAAAGAAAACATGTTGATAGGGAACAGCTTCGGCCGGTAAATCGGGCAACTAAGCGTGTTCTGATTGGTGCAAAATCTGGCGGACTATTTCAAATATTACCATTTTTTTTCCTTTAATATCTCCCTCAATAATTTTTTTAAAAATCAACCACATAGCCCTTTAAGTATTTTATCGGATAAGCTTCCAAACCATATGAATGAAATACTTAAATTCAGTTGAGTGGGAAAGACCCATTGTAACAGCTGTTACTTTTTGAATATGTTTATTTCCTTATTAGAATTTGGAATTTAATAATATTTAATTTTATAATTTTTGATAACCAGAATTTTTTCTCTTTTATTTCATGCTTCATATATATTATGTAATTAAATTTGTCAGGAAAAAAATATCTTCCTTTGTTGCCACGGATTATCTTTCACAAAATTCATCTGTCAACACTGTACAACAACGTTCCCTTCGTTTTCGTTTGTGGCGTCAGGTGGCGTCGTACTTGTACTTCATACTCGGCTCGTCGTTTGCTATGGTCGTTTGGTTTTTGGTTTCGTTGTGGTGTCTTGTAGTCTTGTGTTTGTGTGGTGTGCTGCCTTTAATACCTCTTGCTTTGCGTTGATAATCAGAAAAGTCAGATAGTTCACCTGATAACTTATTAGAAGTCCAATGAACCAGGCCTTAGGGAATGTTTTATTGTGTAAATAAATTTACGCTATAGGTAGAGCAAAATATTATCATTGCTGATTTAATATGTTAAGGAATAGACCAAATATGTGAGTAGGTACCTTGTTTTTTTCAGGTTTAAAATTAAAAAATGTTTGAAAGTCATCATGCTATTTTTACATTTTTAAAAATAAAAACTAAATGTTTTTTAGTACTTATGTTTTTATTTCTATAGATTTCCCTCATTTTACCTACTATCAACGTTAGTTTTACCTAAGTTTACAACGTCATCTAACATTAAAATAACGTTCGTAAATGTCAATTAACGTTTTAAAACAACGTTTAATTAACGTTACTTCAACGATGACATTGTTACGTTAAGAGGACGTGTTGATAACGTGATTTATAACGTAACTTGACGTAAAAAATAACGTTAAACAATTTAAACAAACGTCATTTTGCTACCTGGGAGCGAGACGTAAAGTGACGTTAGCTCCTTGACAACCGTATTTCCCCATGACAACGGCGATCCTGCCAAAAACTCCACCAATCAGCTTCATCCAGGACGGATGCTTGCCAAATTGTCAAAAGCTGATGGAATCTTTAGAAAATGTTTATTTTTTACAATAGACCAAACTGAAGAAATCAGCATCAAAATAAGGATAGGTCTAACAACCACGTTAAAATATTTAGCGTTTCATTATTGTTATCAATATTTTGTTATCAAAAAATGGATTTTCAAATTAACTATACTTCATGCCTAGTATATTCGCTTTTTTATAATTAAACGTGGCAACATGGCACATTTACGTCCGAATTCCTTCCGTATACCACTGGCGTAACTAGCCATCTGGCCTGGGGGGGGCCTAGGGTGGGCCTGGCAGAGGCGCCGATTTTTGAAAGTCCTCATAGGTGCAGGATAATATTTTTATAAATTTGTTTATAGGGGGAGGGGGAAACTCGCCGTAGGCGCCGGCGGAGGCGAAATTTTTTTCCGGATGCCACGCCTAAAAACGTCTATTTTATAGTGTATATATTTTTCTATTTTTTTTACGAGCGTGCGAAAAGTGCTTTTTTCTGCACGCATTTTAGGCCATGAAAATATCACATCAGTATCAAAATAATTATGCCCGGTACTTTTATGTCCTAAAATGCCTTATGTCCCGATTATTATCAAAGAATAGAGATGGAGAATATCAACATTAGCAATATAAAGAATAGAACATAGAATTGACCACAAATAACGAAAGGACAGAATACTAATACCTCCCTAATCTA